ATACATACATACATACATACATACATACATACATACATACATACATACATACATACATACATACATACATACACACACGCACACACACACACTCACATAAATATATATATATAAAAAAAACACTGATCTGTCCAGTTCAATGTGTAATTTGCACACTCAAGGGTCCTGACTCAATGCTATCTATTAATCAAATTAATGCTTTACAACATGGGTAATTGCATGAGAAGGTCACTAATGGAAAATGCAATGTTGCTGGTCTCCTACGCTCAACGGAGAACACCAAGCTCTCAATGGATTCAACAATTAGACACACTCATGCGCTAAAGACATTAGCATCAATCAGTTTACAGTACAGCTTCCTTCAAAAGGGCTTATATAACTCCTTTTGTGTGAGACTTAAAGGGATAGTTTATGTTAAAATACAAAATATGAGCAACATACAAAAAAAGACATTTTGAAGAATGCATGAAGAATGCTTCTTATCAGTTCACTAATGATTCGCACAATAGAATAATAAGTTTTTCACTGTTTATAGATGAAAGAACTGGCTCTCACTAATTATTGTTTTTTTATGAAAGTCACTGCATGGTTACAGGTTTCAAACATTCTTCAATATTTTCAACATAAACAAATAAACCAATAAAGGTTTGAAAACACTTAAGGGTGAAAGTTAATAGTGAGTAAATTTTCATTTTTGTGTCAACTGTTCCTTTAAATTTTGTGATTCTCATTTGATGTCAGACAGACATATATCCCTGCTGCAGAGCAGAATGTATATCTCAAATAATAATAATAAAAGTAGATGAAAAAAATAAACCATTTAACAAAGGGGAAATTTTGTATAAATTTGTAAAATGGGAATTGAATAAAAATGTTGATTAATTCATTATTTTTTTTTATTTTTTATTTTTTTACAAAAACATTAAGGTTCATTTCTAAACAAAACCCCACTTGGGCTGGAACAGGTTTTTAAATTTTTGTTGAAATGCCCCTTTAAATAATTGAAGAACTCTTTGATGTTTCTTTTTGTAGTAGTGTTTTTTTTTTCCTAGAAAGACCACTAGTCGTGACCATGAATGTCATTATTCTAGTGTGTGATTGTGAGACAAAGGTAAAGCAGGTGTTACTCATTTTGTGCTAAATAAGGTGCCTGACAGTGACATTGTGTACAGGGCTGGAACAACACTGATAAGGCACTTTATCGCTGAGCTACACATACACACACACACACACACACACACACAAACACAAACATGCACAGTTATAATGCGTTCTTTGTTCTCTTTTGCTACATCAGTTGTTCGCTTCAGTCTAATTTGCACTGGAGACTTTGACAGCAGTGCAGCTACTCTATCAAAAGTGCTACATCATTCTCTTAACTACACCCCTTTATGACATCACACGTGTTACTTGCTCTTTTTTTTTTTTTTTTGTCGACTAAAAATACAGCATAATAAATTCATCTTTTCTTGTCTTGTTCTTCCTCCACATGGCAAATCGTCATATAAATAGAGCAGTCTGGACGTCATCTCTGACCTGAAGAAAGATTGAGAGTCTGTGGAGGTGGCGGACTGAAGCTTCCAGAGAGCTGAAAATATTCAAGTGAGCACATAAACTAAAATATATTCAGTGGAGATTAAAATTAGACAACAACCTACTTTTTCTATTTATTGTATTGTAACAGAAGTAATAGAGTTACATATATTCACATATTACAGTATTAAAAACTGAAATGACATTTTAAAAGCAGCAGTAAGTTTTCACAGAAGTTCATAAACCTGCTGATTTTTAAAGCTTTTACTTGACTTTCCTTATTTTAAAAAGGAAAAAACCTGTTGCCTTTAAAGCAATTAGTTGACTACTTAAAAAGTAAGTAAAACGCTTGTTTTTAAAGTGATTAGTTGACTATTTAAATTGTAAAGTAAAGAATTTTTTTAAGGAATATCTGATACATTTTTTTTTAAATCTTGCTTTTAAAGTTATTGGTTGACTTTTAAATCGATTCGTTGACTTCACTTAAAAAGTGAGTAGCTTGTCTAAGTAAATAAACTGTAAAAGTCACGTCAGCTTAACAGTACCAAGTTACAATGGGTTCACTTACTTTTTTCAAGTTACTAATTACTATAACGCGTAGAAGACACTTTGAGATTTCATACAGTTTTTGTTGTTAATCTGTATCTGGTGGTAAATTCCTATTTAACTAGCTTTCAAACCAAAATAGAATCTTTCATTCATTAACCTATCCACATCTGTGATTTCTAAATTTTTGCATCACTGTTCCTTCCCAAAAGTCATGTTTCATATATGCTTTTATATATATATATATATATATATATATATATATATATATATATATATATATATCACATATATATATATATATATATATATATATATATATATATATATCACATATATTTCACTTGATGTTTTGCTATCGGCTCAATCTTTTTAGAGCTTCACTATAATGCACTTTGTGTTTTTAGCTCCGTTTATTACACATTTGGTTTAATGGCACTGGCATCTGAAGTGCACTTTATATTTCTGGCCTTAGTTTGAATTTCATAAAACGTTTCATAGCTTTTTCGGAGGGTATGATGATGATGATAATAATAATAATAATAATAATAAATAATAATAACAATAATAATAAGAAGAAGGTTTAAACAGCTGCCGGCGGAGGCGAGCCCCATTCTAGTTAGCATGAATAGGTAGTTTTGATCACATTTTGTCCCTCTTTGTGCTACATATCACAATTTGAAAAGATTGTTGAATAAGAAAATGTATGAAGGATGTATGTTCAATGTTGTATTATTGGAATTGACTGGACTTATGGATCCTATGCAATCGTAATGGGTTGGGACCACTTAAATTTCCTGAATTTACAAAAGAAAAAAAAATTTCCAATGTATGGTTTAACTTCTATTGGCAATTCTTCTAAATGTTACATATAAATCCTTTAATTTAGAGCAAAAAAATTACAACTGATCAAAATATCAAAAAAAACACAAACATATTCATATATTAAATTTTAGGCAGCACCAAACCAATTTTTTAAATTCAGAAGAGCCAAGAAAGCATTCATTTGTGGCATAAAGCATGTATTTGACATTGCACAGACATTGCTATACAGTTGCTGTAGGCAGTTTTCCATACATTCTAGGATGGGCTTCACTGAAAAAAAATATTCAAAGATGATACCTTGGATTTACTCTTTTTTTTTTTTTTTTTTTTTTTTTTTTTTTTTTTTTTTTTTTTTTTTTTTTTTTTTACGTTAAGTGGTTGTAAACCATTTATTTGGGGTTGAATTTAAACAAACCAATTAAGTTGAACATTATTACATTTAATTTGTTTGTTTAAATTCCACAAAAAAATTGTTTGCATCAGTTCTGCATGCAACACTTTTTTTCAGTGTTGTAAATCAGGTACATACTGGTATTTGTGGATGATTCCTTGGGGTCATTTCTGCTCTTTGGTGTTTCCATTTGCATAGCTATGGATCCAGCAGCTACAAGTGGTAGCAAGATGCTTTTACTATAAACAGTGTTGGAAAATACCATCCTGAGTCTTAATCGGAGGCAACAGAGGGCTTTAACTGTGTGGAGCTTATATTAGCACACTGCTTTTGTAGCAGTTCCTTTCTTGGCAGTCAGTGAGCCTGTCGTAATGTTAACAAATAGCCAGCTATTTGGGAATTGTTTTAGCCAACTTTCATTTAAGTTTGGCTCCATTCTGGTCTGAAACTCCCACTTTTTTTAATGATTCATCAGTTTCTGATGGAAAAAGTTTCATTGTATAATTCGCAGTTACTGGGAGATTAAATTTACAAAGTGAAATATACTGCAAATTATATTTTATAATGACTACAAAAATTGTAAGTTTGCTTTTGAAAGCACTGTTGGTTAGGGTTAGGTCAGTGGTTTGCTGGTCTAAGTGATCTGAAGCTCTGCTTTCTTTTGGACATGGATGTTTATCTAAAACATGCAACAAAATGTACCTTAAGTAACATATTTCAGATTCACAAAAATGTAGATGCTGAACTCTAGTGGATTTGCCATCTGAAATGTGCAATGAATCATACCTGAAGCAAATATTTTACATTTTGCAAAAAAAAAAAAAAGTATGAGGTAGGAGGAATGTATCTTCAATTAGCTTGGACAGAATGCTTTGCAGTCTGCATTGACAATTGTCTTAAAAGCCTATTGTTTTCATACATTTTTTATTTGATTGTGTTACATCAACTTTCAGTACAGTACCTTTCCTGGCCTGGAGAATCTGTTTAATATCTAGTCATGAGTTAAAGCCCATCTAAATGTCTTTGCATTCTTCATGTGAGCATTATTTTTTTTCTGTAGTTTGCAGATGTTCTGGTATGTTTTGTTTGATGGCCTCAATGTGTAGCTGCCACCGTGTGCATAAACAGATTACTGCATAAAAAAATTAAACACGCAATGCAATCATACCGCTGTGGTGAGCCCTGATAAATAACTGACTAAGCCTTAGGAAAATTAATGAATATGTTAGCCACTACTTCGTGAAGTTTTATTTATAAACTAATTTGAGAGGAGTACATGTTTATGATTAATCACGGCTGGTCCCACATTAACTAATGCATGAATCACTAAACAGATGATTCCTAAATCACAGTTCAAAAACATGTCATAATTGAGTTGATTAATCTAAATTAGCTCTATAGTCGAGCTCTTAACCAGCAGTATATGTCTATAAAGCAATTTATAATCTGTCATGAGCTCTAAATAAAGGGGAGGTTCTTGAGACTTATCTGAGCTCAAACTCCCCTCTCACCCAGCAAATGGGAGGGAGCCATGGGATCGAGGATCTTATTAGCTCAGGGCTCTCTTCCTGGATAGCATGCCAAACGTGTGAACTCTTGAATAACAAAATAAAAGTTACCAAATTGTCATGATATTGCATAGATCTTATGCATGGACCTCAAGTCAGTGAGAAGATGGAAAGAAGTAAATTTCATCAAACCAAACTCAGGAAGTAAATGCCTTTTATTAGCAAAATAAGGGAAATGAGTGTACAAATGTTCCCCCATTATGGAGAACACAAAGACAGAGGTGGCAGTTTTCTTTAAAATCAATCAACAGTATAGCTTGCCTCAAATGTCTCTTTACAGACATTGTCATATTGTTTGTTTGTATTTTTTCTCCTCAATGAAATCTCGAACCGCTCTCTCGGTCCCTTCATCTCTCAATGGTGCGTCATTTACCCAGCAGTAAGCCATTAAGATGGCGGCCGGCGTCTGATGACAGATGCTCGAGTCCTGTGTTTGTAACATCTCAAAATCTGACAGCCATACAGGACTCCTCTCCATCTCAAGTGGCTGTTGTTTGGTCTACTTTTGTTGCCATTAAGACCTGGAGGTTTGAGCACCGCACACTGCTTTAACCATTAGCTTTCTTTACAACGCCATATTTCTATTTAATATTTATATATATATATACAGACGCAAACAGATGCACATACACACACACATACACTCTCTCACATTCTCACATTCGATGCATATGAGGATTTGTGCTCTCAGATTAGTAACATCCAGTATGAACTTTTTTGACGTTGGAGAGATATTCAGCAGGCAAACCCAAGCAAATGGACAAAGACTGCAGAAACGCATGCGAAGGCACAAGAACCAACAAACTGGATCGAGTAGCACAATCTTTCTCTCTCCTCGTAGCAACAACCGCAAAGGCAAAAAAAAAAAAGATAAATTTACAAGAAAAGGGAAACTTCTCTGATGCAAGACGGCAAAATAAAAAGAAATACTTTGTTTAAATGAAACAAACTCGTGTCACGGGGAAATGAACAACATGGCCGCGACAGAAACGACTGTACGAACATTCGACACAATTCATTTTTAAATGCTACTTTTTAAATTTTTCCAAAGACGAAAACCATAAATAAAGCTGACAAAAGTGGCGTAATGTACAGCACTGGTTCAACACCAGTTATCTCCATACTTAGTCTTGCAATCTTCCTCCAACAAAATGCACATCAAAACTGGCTTCAGCTGGGCCTAGAAAGAAAATAAGAAAAGTGTTACTTTAAACAATTCACATATTATTCAAACAATAAATGCTAATGACTTCATGATTGAATTTCACACAACATTTAACATCACAACTTATGCCGAGTTCAGGCTGCATGATTTTAGCCCCGATTTTGACTCGTTGACAAGTTTTGAGAAATTGCCAACAAATGCCTGAAATCACAGCCAAATTGGTACTCATTAACGATCACAGTGTGAACTATCAAAGACGCCATCTGATAGAATCGCCGATAAGTCATCAACACCTGTCAGATATTTGGCATGCCAAAAATCTGGAGCTGTTTGTGATTCAAATTTTGTCGTGTGAAATGTGTTCTGGTTAAATATAACATTGGTGATCACCTACAACTAATGAGTGAGCAGCATCCACTAGTGTGGGTATCTGCAGGCCAGCGGGAGGTTGGGGAGAAGTTGAAAGGGCTTTTTTTCAGTTTATTTGGACCCAAGAAATTGAGGAAATACTAGGGCAAATTTGGCTGGAACGACCGTGTCTGTTTTATGTGTCGTATGAGCAATGCCACTGCCGGGTCGGAAAAAAAAAAAAAAGTTGAGGAGAAATTGTTAATTCTCTTAAAAGCCAGGTGAGCAAAAAAAGTACATTTTCTACCCCAGTAGAGGCTTCTTTCTCATTATGTAGTTAATAAAAAATATATACTATGTGACCATGTTTTTTTCTACATCACTTTTCCGGGTGTATTTGGTTGTGAGAAATAGTTTGGACAAAATTGACGGCAATTCTTTCTGTAGTAGTCATGCAATGTGAAACCCCCTGTTGCTGATCCATCTTGCAGTGTTAACACAGCACCAACAGAACGCTAGCCCAGATAGTCATGCAGTGTGAAAACACGTGTCTGTGACACGACTACTGCAATTGTGCAGTCTGAACCTGAAGAAAAATTGAAGAAAGACAATTTCTGTTCTCTCCAATAATAAAAAAAATCCTTCAGAAATCAAATCTTTCATCAACATTTTCAGTTTCACTGATTCATTTCACATTATATCAAGTAATGTATTTCTGCAATAAGAAATGGTTAATTACTACTGTTATTACCTGTCTGTAGTATGCGTTTAGTATGTATTCATTTTATTTAATTTATCTTATATACAATATTTTAGTTATGATTGGACACCCTACCAATAAGATATCTTATCATTTTTAAAATAGATGTTTATTATATTTTTACAAAATAATCTGTTTTAATAAGTTTGATATCAGTTACGTGATCATTCAGAAATTTGGAGATTTTGTTTCTTAAGAAACATTTCATAACACTATAAATTTTCAAATTGTTGACATTATTTGTAAAACTTGTAAAAAATTGTAAAACATTATTTTGAACAGAAATGTTTTGTGACATCATAAATGTCTTTAATGTTACTTGCGATTCATTCATTCATTCATCTTCCTTCAGCTTAGTCCCTTATTATTCAGGCCACAGAGGAATGAACTGCCAACTTATCCAGCATATGTTTTTATACAGCGGATGCCCTTCCAGCTGCAACCCAGTATGGGAAACACCCATACACACTCATTCACACTCATACACTATGGCCAATTTAGTTTATTCAATTAACCTATAGTCTATGGCTTTGGGCAGTGGGGTACCAGACACCAACTATAGGGGGAGTGGAGAGTCAGCGATATAGCCAATTCAGTGGATGGGGATGATTAGGAGGTCATGATCGTAAGGACCGATAGATGGACTTTGGCCAGGACACCGGGGTTACACCCCTATTCTTTACGAGAATTGTCATGGGATTTTTAATGACCACAGAGAGTCAGGACCTAGGTTTAACGTCTCATCCGAAAGACAGCGCCCACTGACAGTATAGTGTCCGCTTCATTAGGACTCACGCAGTCCACAAGTTGAAAGCCCCCTGTTGGCCTCTCTAACACCACTTGCAACAGCAACCTAATTTTCCCTTGTGGCTTCCCATCCAGGTACTGACCAGGCTCAGCCCTGCTTAGCTTTAGTGAGTAACCAGTCTTAGGGCCTACTCACACTATGCCATCCGTACCGTGCCCAGGCCCGTTTCCCGGATCGTTTGAGAAGTGTGAGTGCGCTGAATCGGGCTCAAGCACGGTTCACTTGGCCGGCCCTGGCCCGGTTGGAAGAGGTGTGCCTGAGCGCGGTACACTTGGGCTTTGGCGCGGTACGCTTGTGTGTGAGCACGAAACGCGCCAAAGCCCGAAACCGAAAGCGAGACGTGACTTTTAAGGGACTGTTTGATATGGATTTATTAATCATTCTTACTGTTCAGTGATCGCAAACTGCCGTAGTTTATTAAAGACGCAAACTCCTCACAGCACCCCAGCTGCGCGCCTTCAGCAGACCTCCTCATTCCTGCAGCACGAGAGCTTTGATTGTTTATGAGCGCCAAAAGTGGCGGATCTGTTCGGTAAAATATCTGACTGTGTGTCCCCGCATCCCTAAGGACTGTTTGGCGAAATATTTGACTGCATGTCACTGCATAACAAACGACTGAAAGGATATAACTAGAGAAATCTCCACTGTGCTGCCAAATGAGAGCGTATGGCAAGCCGTTTTAACATTTAAACCTTGTTCTGACTATCCATAAATATATTTAGAGATATAATTATATATTTTGACAAGTCATTATTATAATTCGACTTGTCAGAATAATAATTAGAGATATCTGCAATTACAATTGTACTAGTACGAAATCAGATTGGAGATATCTGCAAATATATTATGACTAGTCATATTCCTCCATTGACTTCCATTGAAAAATATTTGCAGATATCTCTGAGTTTTGACTCCTCAAAAATCCAATTCAAGATATCTACAACTGTAATGCGACTATTAGTAAATTAATTAGAGATATCTTCAAATATATTTGTAAATATCTTTAAATATTACGAATTAAAGACATCTGTATGACTAGTAAAAACTCAGTTAGAGATATCTCTAATTACAATTGTGACGAGTCAAAACTCAGTTAGAGATATCTGCAAATATTTTTCAATGGAAGTCAATGGAGGAATATGACTAGTCATAATATATTTGCAGGTATCTCCAATCTGATTTCGTACTAGTACATTTGCAATTGTAGATATCTCTAATTGTTATTCTGACTAGTCGAATTATAATTATGACTAGTCAAAATATAATTAGAGATATCTCTAAATATATTTATGGAGTCAGAACAAAGATTTAAATGCTAAAAAGGCTTGCCATAGAGAGCGCTTCTGAACAGCGCAGCAGCGATGACGTAAGCGTGCCGTGGCCCGGTATGGTGTGAGCGCGGGCCGTCGGGGGAGACGGGAGGGGGGACAAGCGTGCTTTGGCCCGGTTCGAGGCAACTGTACCTAGTGTGAGTACGGCCTTAGGCTGCAGGGTGATATGGCTGTAGCCATAAAAAAACAGTGTAGTTAAAAAGCCCCCTTTTAAGTTGCAGTTTCATCCTACAGTACAGTACACTCACTCCACAAACATTAAAATTTTTATCACATGCCCACACTCATATTGACAGAACTTATTAACCCATTTAAACTACACCAGAAATCCCCTTTAAACATGCGCTCATCCTATAAATATTTATTCCAATCTGGCTTCAGGGCAAAGATGTGACTTTACCCACAAGCCAGCGTTAAGATTGATTCTGTAGCTTATAAAGCAGATCCTCACCAAACACAAGCTTCTAGAAGAGTCCACAGTCCTTTAGGTTGTTCTTGATAATGACGTCAGTTACTGCGTCAAACACAAACTGCACGTTTTTGGTGTCGGTGGCGCAGGTGAAGTGAGTGTAAATCTCCTTTGTGTCTTTCCGCTTGTTCAGATCCTCAAACTGACACTGAATGTAGGCTGCAGCTTCCTCGTATGTGTTTGAGCCTGTTGGATGAACAGAAAAACAATTTCAAGAATTTTAGAGAAGTAGTGATGATGTCACTACAAGATTAAATTTCTACTGGAAACAATGCAATATACTCTATAGACTTTGATATATATATGTGTGTGTGTGTGTGTGTGTATGTATATATATATATATATATATATATATATATATATATATATATATATATATATATATATATATATATATATATATATATATATATATATATATATACACACACACACACACACACACACACACACACACACATACTTTACATCTGTAGTGATTATGCTGCTGATTAGAAGTTTTTTTTTTTTTCTTTTTGGACTCCTGAAACATTTCATCTGGACCTAGGATTTGAGTGGTTATTGAGAAACTAGAAATGACCCATTTACAGTGCTCACCATATACAAGTACACCTCTCACAAATCTCTAATTTAAGTTAATATTTTCTATAGGAAGCTTTACAATATTAAACTTGTGCATATACATTATTAATAAAACTAAATTTAGGAGAAGCAAGAAATGTATAAATTTGATGAAATTTTTGTAGTCTGTAATTTTTTTCAACAATATTTTACATGAATTTAAATGCATTATCTTTCTATTTTTAAGAATATTTGGTGACTAAAATATTATTTTAATAATTATATCAGTGTAATAAATCATAAATAAGTATTCACTGAGAGATGATTAAAAATATTCATTTTTAAAAAAGGGTTGTACTCATTATTGGTGAGCACTGTATCTTTCCAAATAAAATTTCAGAAAATGTAAGTTTCAGCAGTGTTTTTACATGTTTTGATTTCACTGTGCTTTTAAGTGCTTTGTAAGTTAGAGGTAGATATGTTAAATAAAATATAAAATAATTTTTAAAAATATTTTAAAGACTTTGCAAGTTGTTAGCCATAAAGTTTAGTTACAGTATGATGACTTTAGAGCATAACATTTCTGATGTTATAAAACTAGTGATATTAGCAAGTTTTTTTTAAATATGGGGTTAAAACAACTCACTGAAACTAAAACAAATCTATCTGTAACTTTATAATAACTAATATTTAACTAATATATCCATATCTATAATAACTAATAAAAAAGAGAATAGATAAAATGTACCAATTCACACTTTAGAGTCAATCATTTAACATTTACTGTTTATACGTTTGACTTGTTTAATGATTTAAATAAGCTTTCAGTTGTATGTTTTATAATTTTACAAATATTCTATTAATACAATATATTTCCTTGAATGTATTTAGTGAGAAATGTTGCCCGTCTGACCTGCATACTCAGGGTAGCAGATGGTGAGTGTACTTTTCCTGATCTTCTCCTCAAACAGATCCTTTTTGTTGAGGAACAAGATGATAGAGGTGTCCGTGAACCACTTGTTGTTGCAGATGCTGTCAAACAGCTTCATACTCTCATGCATTCGGTTCTGAAGAGACAAAAATCAGTTGAGCGAACAAAAGAAACAAGGAGGATTGTAAGAGATAGCAAAATGCTGTTGACAGATTTGGAAAGTCTAAATGTATAACAGTAACATTAGTAAACAGGTAACATTATATCATCAGTATCATGTACTGTTGGGTTTATGAGTTTTAGTTTGATTTTAATTAGCTTATTTGTTCATTACTGACTGTGCACTTATTGTGTGTTTATCTTAATAATAAATATGTACAATAAAAAAAAAAGATGTAAAATAATAATAATATGGCATTGTTAAAAAAGGCTGATGGTTTTAATATTTTAACTTTACATGCTTCAGTCAGGCTAGTGGTTTCTTTAATATTGAAATTTGTTAGCATGCTACATGTTTTGGATCAAAATTAATTTAAATGCTTTAATATTTCATGAAACATGCTTGTAAACAATGAAATTAATGCACTCATAAATTTTGTCATTTTAATTAATGCTTTGGAAATCTTTCAGAGTAATATTGAAAACAGTTTTGAGTATTGATAAATAACATAGTAGAAATATTAGTCCACTCAATTATCGTTTAATGAAAAAATGGTTTACTGTATATTAAGTTTTGTGTTGTCCATCTTAAAAGCCTTACTGTATGGATCGAAGACTGTGGTGCAGATGTGCTTTAGCCTCTGCCATTTACCATCAAACCAATCAATAGCTGCTTGTGAACACTTAATAAATTAAAACTTCGAGTGAATCGATATCACGTTGACATGGATTATATGATAAATGCAGGAATTGGTTTTCTCGTTGAGCTTGATTTACCCCTCATTCAACCTATACCCATTCAAAAATACAGCGACCAATAGGAACATGTGGAAATTAATTATATCTGCTACAGATTTTCAGGGACAAAATAAGCTGTGTATGTGGAGGAACTGCTAATATGCTAAAACCAATAAAGCTATAAGAAACCAATAAAGCTCTTTTTTTAAAAATTAACATTTTAGTGAATCTTATTTGGCTGGAAAATGTGTGTGCGTGTTTCTTTTGTGGAAAACACCAGTGTTTGTAAAGCAGAAACATATAGTAGTTATGGTCTTTAGGTCATCAATTACTTGAAATTAACAATCTGCTTTTAACAATTAATGATAAATATATTTAAGAAAACAAAATAATTCATTCACATTTCAGAATTAGTCATTGACCTAATTTTTTTACTGTATATACATATATCATTTTGCATGTTGACTTTAAATGTATTTTGTTAAGTTTGATATTATTTAGTTGTTAGTTATTATATCTTTGTTATTATGAAGTTGTTTGCTTTTTTAATTAATTTTTTTATTAATAAATTTATTTAAAACATTTCAATAATATTTTTTATTTCAATTTATCATCAGTGTCATTAGCTTTTTGAATGGCCAACTAGTTGTAATAAATTTTAATAAAATGCATCATGTGCAGTTGGACATTTACAAGTAAAAAATTACAATAATGTGGAGTAATTTAAAAGCTTCCATTTTGGAAATTAATTCAGAAAAGAGGAATACAAGGAAAGAATAATACAAAAAGTTGAATTTTAACGTAGAACTGCTTAGCCAGCTTGTAAATTTGTGTTTAATTATATGATAAATAATATTAGTAGCAGTAAATAATCTCATACCATCTCTTCATCCTCGGCCAGCACCAGGTCATAGTCACTCAGTGCCACACAGAAGATGATGGCAGTCACACCTTCAAAACAGTGGATCCACTTTTTCCTCTCTGACCTTTGACCTCCGACATCAAACATTCTGAAATACATTTTAAAATGGTTAATTGATTCCTGCAACTCCAAGTAACGCTAGTGTAACACCTTACAGAGGCAGCTGTCTGTTAAGTAGAGAATTTTTTTTTCTGTTAAGGCAAAATTTTTTAATGCATTTGTCAGTTTTAAGCTTGTCTTTCACTTTTTTTGCCTTCAGATTTTTGTTTTAGTGTAATGTAAAGAAAGCATCCAAATATGTGTTTTTTGGCTGTTGAATTTCATCAATTTGTGCTTGTATATTTCAATTACAATCCATATTTTGAGAGCTGTTTTCTCAAAATGAGTTTTTTTTTTCTCTTTCACTGATCAAAACATCTATTTTGGTAGCTATTTCATAATTCAAATTGCAGTTTTATTTATATATGTAATCTGAAGGCTGTTACAGAGGCATTTATTCATTCATTTGTAAATATTTTTCTTTCTGGCTGTTGGCAGTGTTTTCTGAATTATGCAACGACAAAAAAAAACAACCAGATTAATTCTCAGTAAATTCTTTGACTGTAAAATATTAACTAATAATAATAATAATAATAATAATAATAATATTATTAATAATAATAATAATAATATAATTTTGAACACAAATTCAGCCAATATTCATGTAATTGTGGTAGGATATGCAAATCAGCACATATTAATTACATAATGCATCGTTAGCATATTTAAATTACATTTCAGAAAAGGTGGAATGCAAAAAAAAAAAGGCAACTTAGAAATTATGATGACTCCCAAATGATGACCCAGTTCATCGTAACTAAAATAAAACCACAGAAGTTCTGGTTTTTCACAACATAGATTTTTTGTGCACCACAAAAGATTGTTTTTTTTTTTTTTACATGAAACGCCCATGAGACTTGACACATCTGATTTAAGCTGTTATATATTGAGTTCTAAAAAGTCTACATCTAAATATGGGCAAAGAAATTGATGATGCATGCTTCCGCTTCCTGTCTGAATCAGAGTGCAAACCAGTTCAAGACTGACACTTCTATCTTTGTCTGTCTCTGCTTCTCTTTTCTAACACTCTTGCACATGACTGCAGTCACAAAGTCTCTGTATTCTAATCCCATGATTCATACTTTACACCAAACTTAAAGTTCTTTCTAATGTGGCAATCCATGGATATCTGAATACATTCATATTAGAAGTAAAGCTAATATATTACTGTGGAGTGAGTGCGTTTACCAAAAGAATCGGCCATGTTTTACCCACAAAAAATAAATATAAATATAAAAAATATAAATATTTTTTGTTATTATATATATATATATATATATATATATATATATATATATATATATTTCAATATCATTTAAATGACAAATGAGCTAATTAATTCTACAAAATGTTCATTACTGAAATGTAATTTTTCCAGCAAATGTATTTTTGTTGTTCTTTTATTATTATTATTTTAATAACCATACATTGAATTCATACATAAAAATAATTATACAGTTGAAAGTAAAAGTATTCACCTTTTTCTTTCTTTTCAAATATTCTCATGTGCTGTTTTAAAAGAGAGAGGATCTTTTTAACACATTTTTTAAACTCAATAGTTTTAATAACTGATTTATTTTCTCCTTTTTCATGATGACAATTCAGAATATTTTATTAGATATTATGCAAAATACTCGCATTCACATGGTCGCAGAGAACGCTTAATGTGCTGCAATTTAAGAAAACATGTAATTACAATAAACGCCAGCAAACTAAGAAAATATCTTCATCTGTTTGACAGCACACGTGCTACAATGCAAACACAATGCATTTTCTCAGAATGCGAACAAATTTAGAAACTGTGCTGTGTTTTCTCATAACGCAAACAATTTACGAAAACGTGCTGCATTTTCCCACAACACTTTCAAATAGAATGGAACAAAATCTAAATGTTTTAAGAGTGTGACAAACCCGGCTATTTAGATTAGGGTTATTTAGGCTAATAAAATAAAAAAAAGGGAATCGGGATGTAAAAAACAAACAAAAAACTCACCTTTCAAAGATTACTTACAAGTTCACTGAGCAATAATTCAATTTAATTCACGTTTATTTATATAGCGCTTTTCACAATATGGATTGTGTCAAAGCAACTTAACATAGTTCTAGTAAAGTCTAATAATCCAATAGTAAAGTTCTGAGCAATAATCATGGCACAGCAGTGTTCGTCACATTTTTGGGTCTTGAAACATTTCAGTTGTGTTCCAATGGTTTTGCAAGTGTTGTGAAAAAATTCTGTGCATTTTCATAAATTGTATTGCGTTGTGAGAAAACACAGAGCAGTTTATTAATTTGTTTGTGTTGTGAGAAAATGCAGAGGGTTTTAAAAATGTGTTGAGAGGATTTGCAGCATGTGTGCTGTCAAATGATGAAGATCTTTCATTAATTTCCTGGTGTTTTGTAACTGCACATTTTTTTATTGCTGCACGTTAGGCTCTTTCAACCACCATATATTCTGCTTTAAGGGAAATTAAAGGCTTAACTAGGTTAATTTAACTAAGCAAGTTCGCTTTATTAATTTGACAACAGTGGTTTGTTCTGTAGCCAATTGGGAACAAAAACTTAAGGTGGTTAATAATATTCATCCTAAAAATTAACTTGAAAAAAGTAAAACTAAGCCAAACTAAAATAAATAAGACATTCTCCAGAAGATATTAAAATATTATAAAAATATTATAAGAAAAAACTGTGAAAATCTATCTACATCCTCTGTTAGGCATAACTTGGGAAATATTTTAAAAAAAGATTAGAAATTTCACAAAATGTCTAATAATTTGCCCTTCAACTTTATGTAATATATAATACATATATAAATCATGTTTGTAAGTTATTTTACATTTGTAACTAATTTTATGCAGACACCAAAAGAGGATTTCTCATTTTGGACAAACATATCAGTAATATTTTTCCTTACAATTGTAGGCTACTAAGATGTGAAGAGAGAAAAAAAAGTGTTCTCAATTGTGATTAATGGTGCTAAAATGGTCATATTTTAAAAAGTATATATATTTTTTACTAATGATTTAATTTTTTTTTTTTTACTAATGATTTAATGATAAAATATGATCTTTGGCAGTGTGAAGTGCTCACTTGAAGTGTAGGTCTTTGAAAGTGAAGTGTGTCTCCACAATGCCTGTGGTTTTGACTCGGGTCCTGAGCACGTCCTGTTGAGTGGGTATATACGTGGCCTGTGATATTCTGTCCAGATCGTTCAGGTAGCTGTGGAAAAAGATAGGAGTGAAGTGGTTAGCTTCAGCACGAGTGAGTCAGTCGGTTACTTTTGGTGGTATTTAATCTCTTGACCAACAGGTCTGGACCGGGCCTCTCACGAGACGAGGCAGACCTGAGAACAGGATTTGCAGTTACAATCCGCTCTAATGTCCTTCTGCTAAAACAGATTTTTATACACATAACTCTGCTCCAACAATTGCACAAGAGTCAGCAGGGCCGTTTCCTGAAAAACAAACAATGAGCCGTAACGTCTGCCAACTGCCCACTTCATGTGACTGAAAATAGTGGCTACGCTTCAGCTGCCGATTTGGGTAATGCTTAGTAACAGCTTAAACAAAAGATAATGCACAATACACACTCACAAATATACAAATTAGGTATCTTACACACACACACACACACACACACACACACACACACACACACAGTAAACAGAACTTTACATAAAAGCTCTGATCCCAAACCTAGTGCACTCTCTCTCTCTCTCTCTCTCTCTCTCTCTCTCTCTCTCTCTCTCTCTCTCTGTCTCTCTCTCTAGACAACATTCTATACATATTAGCCATTTCTGACATAAAATGGTTGGCAAAATCCTTATTGGACAGTTCATTTGGCTGAATTATAAGACATTTAGTTGGCTCATTAACACAGGAGATACATTTTAGCATGCTTTGAAACAACCTAAAATAAAATAAATTTAATCAAAGATGGTGTTCCAACATATGATGCAGTATGTAAAGTAGTATCATTCATTAACTGAAAAAGGCATTTTTATATTATTAATAGTAATATTATTATTATTATCATTATTATTAGCAATAGTAGTACGTAGTAGTAATACTAAATATAATTATGATCATTATTGTAATTTTCCAGGAATTATTCAATTTGTAAATTTCAGCCAATTATTTATCACAGAAGATGTGTATTATAAATATTCATAAATTCTCAGTGCATATTTTGTTTTTGAAATTTGTACTCCTTTTATGGATCTCTCATTTAACCATGTTAGACTTGACATATAACTAACGGTGATAAAATCTTTCCTATGTGAATTTGTAATCGTATATTATCATATTTGAATTATGCAGTTCAATAAAAGTATAGTTTGTCATTTCATTGTTATGCAGATGTGGTAGTCAGATTTCAGTTTCAGATTCGTTTATTTGTTTTAAATCTCTAAATGGTCTTTCTTGCCATACCTTATAAAGCTCAGATACACCTATAAGCCCACTGGTTCTGTCAGGTCAGCTGATAAGCTTCTCCTGATTGTGCCAAAAACAAAGTGTAAGTACCTGGTAAATCTTAATACCCAGTTATTTTAACTTTTATGTCTTTTTAGGTAGTTTTATCTTGTATTTTATCTATTTTATAGACTAGTATACTTATGTTGTTGTAAAATTTCTGTACAGCACTTTGGCTCACTTCTGTGTTTGTAAAGTGCTCTATAAATAAAGTTTGACTTGACTTATATTATCAATTCATCAAGCCTTTATGAAGTGAGTTTATTTATTTTATACACATATACATTACTATTTGATTAGGTTAAACAGGAATGTCTGAGTACACTACTCGCATATTATCTGCAATTGCTATCTTTAAGCAACAGTTTTTGCAACATGAAACCAGTACGTGCACGAACACATATTTGCATTCTTTTAACTGGATCTGTATTCAGCTGTAACACACACCTTTATTTGTGTATTTTTCTCATGTGATGATCCGACACTACTGTTTGCATGTGGCTAGTTTTAGACATTATTTAGGTTTTGCTTTTCAAGATTTTCAAGTCAAGGGTAACGGCATGTTCTAGCAGCACAGTAAGCAGGCAGCAAATATTGACAGGCTCACTCGAGGCTCAAACATACAGAGACACAGATCTCCGTCTACAGGATAAAGCTGTTTGAACTTGCTGTTTTGGCAGTAGCTGACGTTCAGTGAACAAAAAACAGAAGGGGGAATGAACGCTTGAGCACCCAAAAAGGTGAACAGGCAGGGAGAGATAGGAAGGGAGGATGGTATGTGGGGTAGAGAGATAGAGAAAGATAAATAATGACTGTAGAGGACAAAAACAAAAACATTTTGAAGTGATTCATCCCCATCCTAACTTGGTGAAATGTGAATTGGGTACTCTGAGAGCAAAATACTGTGTGATGTGATAAATGCACAATGGTGAAATGCATAATTGTGTTAAGTAGCACCAAAGCACTGTTGGGCTAGAAGTAAGAACTGTCGCGTCAAGCTGAGGGCGGGGTTTATCATCGCCAATGAGATGAACAGAATATTTAAGCACTATATTTGTAATTGCAGCAGAACATAATGCTGATCACTTCTAATCTCTGTCTATTCAGAAACTGTAACAAACTATGACTTGCTGTGTAAACACACTGGATTTGGTGTTTGGTGCACTTATTTGGTACTTCCACATTTGTGTTTTTGGGTAAGATGAGACATATCCATTGACGTCAGACCTGGCCTTATGATGGCTCTCGAACTGGTAGAAAACCAAAGTGGTTTGCCAGATGTACCAGGTCTGAACTGACAGTAGCACTAGCTTTAGAGTAGTAACTGGTGGAAATGGGGTAAAAGGGTAAGCAGAACTAGTGCTACACACATACAAGCCATAAACAAAGTGAAAGGAAGTGTAGTGAGCCTTGTTAAGTATGGTTGTTGTTAAGTCCAACTTCCCAATCATTAGGCCACAACTACTTCAAAGAAGTATTTGCATCTTCTCAACACTTTGTCAATCACCACAGAGAGATTTGCTCATGCAAATTTGTCTGATAATATGATAATCCATATCATTTGCAAACGAGAAATGACTGCATGTTTCTTTTTGGTGACTTGCATCATTTCGTTGCTTCAGTTTTTGTCCTCATGCTTTGATTCATAGCTGAACTCAGCACTGAATCAGCACTGACACGGATTCTACATGCTCAATGTTTCCATTATCTCATTTTATTTTAATAAAGTTGCATGAGTTTATTTGTATAATATTTGATTTAATAATTAGAAGAAGCATATAGACACTTTTAAAAGAACTTAGTAAAATGGTCAAACATAGTTTATCAAGACAGACTGAATGATCAGGTGTAAATAGGAAATGTTCTCTCCAATCTACTTGTGATCTGATTGATCATTAAGGCATCTTATTATCACCTGGTATATGCAGAAAATCCTAATGGTAATTTCAATACCTATACCTTTTTAAGACTTTTTAAAGACCTTCTCAGAATATTTCAAGACCTCATCGCCACTTCAAGTTCTAATCCGTATCAAACCTTTAACTTAATAAACAGTTTTAGTAAATAAATCAATGGAGCACAACCATGCAACAGAACACAGATAAGCTCGGAAGAAACAAAGTTTGAAATAATAAATTACGCTTCAGCCACTGTTTAACCGTGTCTTTCTCCAACCAGGAGTACACAAACTTGCATTTTCCCATTTTGCTGTCTGTGCAAGTGTTACATGTGGAGAGCGTCACATCACCTTCCTGCGTTTGTAGTAAATAACATGACATCACCTGGACGGAGGAGCTTGGCAAGACACGCACCAGTCCTAACTAATCGCGTGGATCGAAAACGCCATTGTTAAGATTAGGAGGAAAATAAATATGCTTATGCTTTTTAGGAGTCAAACCCTTTGGACAACGCATGAACAAAATGTAAGACCTTGTAAAAACACGATTAAGACTTTTTGATACCTTTAAGGGCCTCAATTTTCTCATAATTGATTTATCAACTTTTAATGCTTTTTAAGACCCTGCAGACACCCTGCATCAGGTGTAAATGGCAAAAAAGAGATTAATTGGTCTCAGTTTGCAAACATTTATTCATTTATAATTTCCTGTTGGGTGCTTTATCACCCAGCACTTTAACCTCACAATTAAATTAACTTCAATTTTCAACACACTTTGTGCTGTTACAACATGTGTAACTTATGTAAATGAACAATGTTTAAACTCTCTCTGTGTTGCCAAAAGCAAGAAATTTGTGTTTGTCAGCAAAAGTTTACTGGATGACTTAACGCATTGCCTGGTGGACATTTGCCAGCCTTTTATGAAAAACTTTAGTTTTTACTTCTGCATTTATTTATCCTCACCCATGGATAGAGGAACAATATGCAGCTGATGAAGTTACTGCATATATGAAGTTACTGCATCGAATAACTCTCAGTAACTTAGATCAAATTTTTGTCTCCAAGGTTCCCTTCAGTTTCACCTGAAACATTTCTTAGTCAACCAATGTGGTTTTCGTGGTCAACCAATTTGGAATGGAGATTGCAAACAAAGAGGCTTTTATGGTTTTTGGCATTCTTTTCATATCTACGTTCGTTTGTTTTTTGTTTTTCTGCACATTTTTGCTGCTGTGTACAACATACTGGCTTCTTTATGCACCAAGGACTCATTTAGTCTTTGAAGCCATGTATCCGAGAGCAATGTACAAAGAATATTCAGTAACTTTTATTGAAAGTCTGATTTGCCAGTGGTGAAATAACCCTTGGTGATGATGGTGTAAGGTAATGCAAAGGACATATAAGGGAAACACCAGAAAGCAGAGATACTTACTATGCTGCAGAGTCATTGAGCTGATACTCTCTGGATCGACTGAAGCAGGCCTGCACTCCTCCATCTTTCCACAAGCGCTTTATCACTCCAGCAAGTTCTGCTGTCATAAAACCCTCCTCAGCGCTGCCCGCCAACACAAACAACTGCCTGGCATCATCCTGACACACAGAGAGAGCAGAACACATTTACACTTTGCATAGAACCATTGTCAAATACTCAATACTGCATCCATTTTTGTACATGCTCTGTGTTATACATGCTAATATCTTGATTCTGGTATGGTATCACAAATCTAAAAATGGGTCTTTATAGAAAATCACAAAAATATTTAAAATATTTTGGAAGATAATTAATTTGGAGGGAAAATAGCTAATCAATGCAACTGTAATTACTAACTGATCAATCATCAGCTTTTATTAGATCAAAGACAACTAAGTGCTCAAGTTATATAAAAGGAAAAATCTATTCAAATAAATTAGAAAAATTATCTGAACATCATTTTAAATTTAATAATTACTTTCAGTTGAGAAAAATATTAAGTAATTGCATATTTCCGTGTGTGCACATTTTAATGATTATTTTCAAAAAGGATATACATAAAACTGTTTTTAAGAAAAATACTGATTTAATGAAATCTCATTTGTGCGGTCGTGAAGATGGTTGAACTGGATGACATTTAAAAGGTCAAAACTACTTTCTTTTTAATAGCTGCATCCTTTTAAAACAGGTTTTTTCTTTATTATAATATCAAGACAGCTGTATAACCCTGACCTTTTACAGAATTTTTGTAAGACATTATTGCCATCATATGCTATTAGACAAAACACAGCAAAATGAGAACAGCCTGTAAGCGACACGACGCACACCACCAGACGACCAATCCTGTGACTCACCGCTCGTGCTGCATCTCCGAAATCGATCTTGAGTCGCCCCATGGCACGAATGATGGCGATGATGGACTGAATCGTGTTGCTGTAGACAACAGCTTTGTACTGTTTGCACTCCTCCTCCGAGTAACCGGCCTCATGGATGATTCTATATGCAGGGATATGAAAAACCCATGAATGATGGACACCATAAAATGTAATTAAAGCAGAAAAGGAAAACAAAACACTTACTTCATTTGTTTGACTATCGTACTCTTCCCAGACTCCCCAGCACCTGTCAAAAAGCAGTTGCGTAAGAGTTAGCTTATCAGTCTACAAACAATGCAATTACCACCACAAGTGTCTAGATTTAATGACTTTCAAGAACAACATCTACTGTGATAATGTATTCACTGGTAGGAGACCCTTAAGACAAAACAGAAAAGACAAAAAATATTCAAAAGCTTCTGACTGTTTCAGTTTTGCTCTTTGTTTCTGAGAAACTCCTGCGTGAATTTTTAAAACCCTGTAGAGCAATGCGCACAACAGCTGCCTCTTTAGTCATGGAAATACAAGATCTGAGAGACCAAACGTTGTTGTACATAATCGTTCTAACACTGTTTCGTTACTGCGTATGAATATTTTAGCTAAAAACACTTATCTTCATTTTATTCCAAGCATGTATGGCTTTCTATGTTTTATTAATAAGCTGTGGAAGTGGACATTCACAGTCCAGTCAATTATCATCGTTTTGAAAACATCAGCATGGACATTGCACAAAATAGCGCATTTAGTATTCCATGTGGGGGAAAAGAAAGTCAAAAGGGTTTAAAATGGCTGAGTAAATAAAATGAGTAGTAGATAAAATCAACACACCACACCTAGTTGTGGTTATTCTGTGATCACAAATGTGCACTGCTGGTAAACCCTGTCAGCTATTGATTGGTTCAATAACGGCTTTACTTATAGAGTCCAATTTAACCGGCTTAACTACTGGGTTATCATTCCCTTGCGCTGGGAAAGCTGTGTACATGCTGTCTTGATCTATCTGCAAAACTCCAGGGACCTCAGTGCATTTGTCATACTGTTCAGATGGATTTAAGGGCAAATCATACCGTACCAAGGACATCGCTTTAAAAATGAATCTAAATTTGAAAGGATAGAGTTTACGATAACAACTATAATATTAACGACAAAAAGATACAAAAAGAACCAAAAAAATTTACATTAAAAATGAGTGGATGAATGATGTAAACATGAATTGCCAATCATTATCTATCCTTTAAAGAGCTTGAGCATTTAAAGTGGCTACTGTGGACACTACTATATATTTTGTGTAGTTTACAAAGCCTTTATTGAACTATATTACAACTCCTGAGGAAAACAGGTAGACTTTTGGCCTTTTATAGTCACCTCGTGTGACACAATGCACGGTTTTTGTTGATATGGTCTGTTTTGTAGTGTTTTTCCAGCAAAACCCTGCCCTGTATTTTCTTGTAATCTATCAAAAAAAGGTACACTGCCATCACATCTTCTTTGAACGTGACTTGAATGCATTGGATGTCATAATTATGACTTGCCAATTCTTAAGTACAAACTTCCAGGAGGCCTTGAATGCAGCATTAGTCTTCTCTATGTCTGTAAATATTTTGGTTTGTCCGACCGATGGCAGACTGAAGAAATTGATTGCTTGAGTACCAAAATGTCATATTTTAGCTGTGAAAACTGACTTTTAGTGTACTGACTACTCTTTGTAGCAGAAAAAATTTGCTATGCTTTCTGATATCTATGCTCATAATATGGTAATTTTATCCATTTTAAATGTCAAGGTGCTTTTAAAGAACTGCATTTGTACTGGACAATGTGAACACTTTATACATGAGTAGAGCATATAATTATGTGAATTTAAGTGTGCATGCCCAAAGGCTTAGTGCCCGATCAAAGGCCAGCATCTGATAAGCTTATTATGGGTAACAATGGAAACAATGATTGAGTGGATGGTGACCGATCAACTCTAACATGTTGAAATATTACAATTTTCCATTTCAGCTACAATAAAATCAATTAATAGTACAGGAGGGTAATTGATCAACTACAACGTACAATAGAAGAGCACATTAAATCAATTCAAATATTGTGTTTTTCCTTTTCCTTCCTTCATATACACATATACACACACAGACATTTGAAGCATTTGAAGTGGATGAAAAGACTTTCTCAAAATTGTTCTAAAACAAGAATGGTGGTTGTTCAATAGTTTTAAGACAACTTTGTGTAAAGTTTTGATTCACTTCAAATGTAAACTACTGTATATATTGCTGGCACTGCATTAGGGCTGCATGATATTGGAAAAGAATTACATTGCTATATATTTTTTAATGTTTTAATATATTTTGCAATATGAATACACTTTCACCAGATGAATTGTTATCTCATTTCTATAAAGAAATGATAATGTTTGATTGGGATGATTCTGCTAATGATTCTATTTGCAGTGCATTTCTCTATTTGCAAGTGCTGTGAGTATTTTCACACATGAATACAATCAAGAAAAACATACAATTAAAATAAAGTGTTTTATCGTTTCCCAAGTCTAACGATATTCAGGTACACTAACTGAATAATAAAAATAATTAAATAAAATTAGTCATTTTCAAGGACACAAATGGTACAATTTTTCATACTGGATCACAGGCATCAAAACACATGGACATGATAAATTATAATACAAACTCAACATTGTGTTTATCCAGCGATGTGACTACTGCGAATGATCACATTGCAATAACTGCATTTATACTAGCTAAACTATTTAGTAACATTTTCTTATTGAGAATTTCACTGTATTATTCTGATTTTTTTTTTGCCCACGATAACAAGACAGGTATATCACCTGCATATATAATTCTACACAATCAGAATTATTTTTGTATAATTTATATACTTTTTATCCTTCAATCTTTATTATTGTAGTTACTTTTTACTTTAGTTTATATGCAGTTTCTTTTTATCATATTTATTCAACCTTAATTATTTCTAAAGTTGTTTCTTTAGATTTAGCTTTTCAAAAAGAGTTAACACTTAGATAAGGGAAGTAAGGTGAAATGGGCTATTTATTGTAGGTTTGGATTAATTTGATTGGTTTATTGATGATTGCAGATTGAGGGACCAGCCTCGAATAACCATATCAAGTGAATTTATTAAAACTGCCTTTTTTTTTGTTTTGTTTTTCAAATGACTAGATGGTAAAAATGAGGGTTGTGACACTTGTTGACCCATATATGTTTTGTTCCCTTTTATCAGAATTTAAAATCAGCTCCTGCCACATAACACAAAACAGACGTTTAATTTCTATCCCGCTGTTTTTAAGCTCTAAAGCATTATTACACCTGTAACGGAAGAATTCCGACAGGCTGTGGAGGAATATTAAAACCACCGAATCGGAAAATAGAGGTGTGTGTGTGTGTGTGTGTGTGTGTGTGTGTGTGTGTGTGTGTGTGTGTGTGTGTGTGTGTGTGTGTGTGTGTGTTTTTATAACAAGAAACTGTGTTATGAGCAGTGTTGGAAACAGCCCTCCAGGGCTAATGCAACCTGGGAGAAATCTTAATAAAGCAATGGACAAACACTGAGAACGTGCCACTAGAGAAACAAGGTGCGAGCTGTTTTCTGTTCCTGAAAATGAACTGTGGATGAGCTCTGAGCCGTAGCACAATTACACTCATCTAGCTTTTGTCCAATCTCTCACACACACATACGCATGCATTCACACACGCGCATGCTCGAGTCCTGTCTCTCGTCACATTGCCATAGCAACCGGCCCTGTTTCTGAGGACATGCTGCCAAAGCGGGCTCTGATACCTGATGGGCGCGTGCCAGCAAAAAGCAGCTCCGCAGTGTATGGCTCATATGCATGCGTTCCAGTAATGCATGATAATCCCCATTTGTCATAGTAACTCGCTCTCGGCATCCTGCTGATTGTGCGCATGAAGTGTGTGTCATTTTACTGTGGCAGATAAAGCTCTTCTTTCTGATTGTCGCTTCTGGCGGTCCATGTCAAGTCTTTGTATGGTCAAGGGTGTGGATGCAAATACGAGTCATTACTGGTTAGAAGTGTAGTGATTTGTTGATGTACGTGTCTTGCGTGGAACTGTCATTTGTGAATAGCTTATTTGATTATAGCTGTGCTGTCTATGTTAAAAGATGAGAGTAAGCCTAAAAAAGGTTTATCTTTAGAATAACTACAGTATTCATTTCTCTTATGGTACCAAAAAAATTACTAAAGGATACAATGCTATTTTAAAGGGCTAGTTCACCCCAAAATTATAATGCACTCACTATTTATTCACCTAAAAGTGGTTCGTCTGTTGAACACAAAATAAGATATTTTAGAAGATTTAAGAATGTTAGAAATCAGTAACCACGGACATCAATTATGGAAAAAAAACAAATACTATGGAATTCAATGGTTACAGGTTTTCAGCTTTCTTCAAAAAAAATCTCTTGTGTTCAACAGAAGAAAGACCATCAAAAAGGTTTGGATCCAACAATTGGTTTATGCTTTAGGTCAATAAATACTTTATTTCTTTATATTTACTCTTACATAATCTCAATCCTCGAATATACTCAAACTATTCTTTAAACGATTCATTCTATCTAAACTCCTCCATTCTACAGACCTACTTTGCTCTGATTGGTCAGTTTGTGTAGTCTTATGTTATTAGTTTACAACCTACAGTCTACCTACCTAGTCGGAAAATAAAACACCTACTACCATTTTTAAATTGCAGGCTTCCTTTTTCCTCAGCAATTGTACATGCATCAGGATAAAGATGTTAGTGGTATGTTTTAGCTAACGTAATATGTGGTATATAATTAAATTTTAAACTGTAGCTGCGTATTTCCAATACATCAAGAGTCAAAGTCAGAAACAAACAAAATTTCTACCAAAATGTACAAAAATAATGACTACTATTAATGAAATAACAGTAAGTTATATTCTTTTATAACTTTTATGAATAAAGTGCTAATATGGTTTGTTGCAATTATAAACACTTCTCTAATAACACATAGTGTTAGTGTTCAAACTCAATTACAGCCAATTAACAAGATTCGCTTAGTCCACTTTTAAGAATGATTTAAAGTAAGGCTAAAATTAAACAAATGTGTTTCGTAAATCATTTAAGACTAAATCTGTTTGTTTTAACAGACCGTACCTTTAATTGTTGTGCAGTCTGATCTTTTATCATTTTACAGACCTTTTACGTTCACAAACAGCAACAAACTACATGGCATTAT